TGATAAGCATCATTATCATTGTCCTTCTTTTAGTTTTGTTTGGAAAAGTAGGTGTTTTTATACTTGTTTTTGCATTGTGTGTGATTGCTTTTCATAAAGTTTATGTTGCGATGTTGTGGAGATTGTGCATTTTCAGCAAGTTTTGTGAGGGAGTGTACTGATGTTAGTTACGTTGCTGGAGAAGAGTTAAATGTACATAAGGAAAGTATTGCTGTAGAGGAAATAAAGGAAGTGCAACTGAGATCTCGTCGTGCGCAATTTATTTATGACGTGGAGTTTGATGAAAGGTAATAGCATACAGGTTCTTCATTTGAAACGGGATATTGGCGGAGATGACCCCTCGTACTAGCAGACTTCCGGTGAAGAAGTTAAGACGTCTGTTACTCAAAGGTCGAGAAAAGTAAGGGTATTTGTACGAAAGGGTATCCGGGAAAATATAATTCCTCACTATTCCTTCGCATTCCCAATTAATTCCACAACCACGACGCCGAAGTGAAAGCTCCCATAGCGTCTTGTTTTATTGTTTTTAATATGGCCAGAATTTAATTTCACGCACGCGCGGTAGCAGTGGACACTTAGAAAAAATTCCAACAGAAAAGAATGAAAATTTTACAAAGAAATATGGGTTAAGTAAAATAATTTGCGATACAGCAAGTCGTGCGATATACCTGAACACTAGGTTGCGATGAAGACTGAAAGGTTGACTTATTTAGATCTTAGGTTTGACAAACTTAAACTCCTGCCTTCAAATCTCGAGCTTCCCAGAATGGAAATAAAAATACGAAAAAATTACCTGCGTCTTCCATTTGATTCTATTGCAAATGGAACACTGCCACCTCGATTAACCTCTTTTCTTCAGTAATTAATGACAATTTCGCTACGAAACACTCTTAGGTTGCGATGAAATCTTCAAGAACAAAGTCTTATCTTTCATGGTGAGTTTTTTTGTCCACTGAACAAGCATATTCTTCCTTCCCACGTTTAAAGGATCTGGAGTTAATTCTATTTATAAATACGCTTCTACTACACGGGTTAAATCTAAGACCTTCGCTCTACAATATCTCGGCCAAAAATCATCTAAATTTTCTCCAAAACCTCTTGTTCGAAAGCTTATTTCTTTGAGTTTTCGTCGCCATCTTTGGTTGTGGCACTATTTTTGATCAGCGGCTTTTATTTGACCATAAACAACTATGTATTTGACCACTCGAACTTTCCGAACGTTATGAGCGTTACAACCATTGCGAAACAGTCTGAATGTAAGGCGCGCGGAATTTGACGAGCGAGATTTCTGACATAATGACGGCGCTTGGTGTGGTCAAAACCACATTTAGAAGCTCGCGAACATGGTTAAATAATTGCTTTGGGTTTGACCTGCCTAATATTTTTATTTTGATCAATATCTCGTGTATGTGTATGTTATTGAGAAAGTTGCCACAATGTTAATTACCAGCTTTGACTTCATTTTTTGCATATATGACGTCCCGCCCAAATTGACATTAAGAAGGAATTTCAGTTTCTTTACTTCTACCTAGTAGAATCTCAGTTTACTACGAAGCCTTGAGTGTTATATGGCTCTACAAAAAAAGTGAAAACTTTTAAGAAGAAACGTTTCCTATTTTATGAATTTTAGTTTATTTGCTTCTTTCTTTAATCAAAGAATTGCAGCCAAAATTTAAAGTGATAGATTTCCATCGAGTTATAGTCTTCAGCTTTCAATTTCAAAGAATCTCCCATTTATACATGTAAGTTAAGAGGAAAAGCGAATAATAAACCAAAAAAAATTATGATAATAACGGACCGAGTTTGCCATAATTTATTATTTTGTAACATCACCATCATAAGACTTTTTCTTTGACGATGTAGAAAACGGTTTTCTCGCTCTTTAATTTTTAGCTTTTGTATTGTTTCAAGAACAATACAAATTTAATAAGCAAAAAAAATTGTATTTGGCTAATGTCTGTATTTACGTCCTAAATGTTCTGTAATATATGGTATAATGATACGAGCAATTAGTCGGGAAATTAGAGACCTACCGCGTTTACTTTTCTTTTGGCGATAATTAAGCACAGCCATTAAACAGTGCTTTTCATTAAATTTTGTTCCAAAAAGTGATCTTATCGGATGAGAGCCGCGAGTTAGCATTGTGCCAGTGGGCAAATAATAATTGCTTTGCGGTTTAACAGCTTGTTTGTTTTAAATACAGCTTCTATAAAGGGGCTTTTGAAACACGTATTTGAACGGACATGACCTCACTAGATGCACCGGTAACGATTGTTCGTATTATAATTTTTCTCCTTTCGCTGACCCAAAGCAGAACCGGGAGCCAGGGCTAAGTTAATTTGAAAGTGGATTCAAAATGTCTAGCTAGACGCTTGAGCAATAGTTTACCTCGTTGCACTGCGAGATGACGAAACATTCTCAAGGTTTGTTGAAATTGTATTCTCATACACTTACAGTGGTTAAAAGTGTTGCATATCGCCGATAGAGTTACTATGAAAATTACAAAAAGTGTGGTCATTTTCCAAATAAAATTCGTCAGTCACCCAAGCGCCTCGACAAGACTGGCTTGAAACCAGAAGGTCAGTGCTGTGTTACTAAGTATCTTGCAATTCAGTTTTGAAAAATTTCAAGCCATGTTCTGAACGTTTCGGGACTTAAGTCAACTGCCAGTACACATATACATGTTTTGACGTCCGCTTCAGTACTCCCAGCGTTTGTTCAGCTTACGCTGAACTTTAGTTAAGTGTAATAATTATTCAGGCCGGTAGAAGTAGGGGGGACTACCGCTTTACCGTCGAAAATACTGGGTTAATAACACAAGGCAATTCTCCTTTCGATTTTAAAAAATATGTTGTTATGGCTAATTTTTTTTCGTGCCCTCTCACTTTCAAATTCGTTTTAATATCATAGCCGTTAACCGACACAGCCGGATAATGACATAGATTGGTTGATGAAAAAATGTGTTACTTATATACCTGGAAGACCATAAAAGGAAGATTCGTTTACGCCTGAATAACATTGCCTTTACAACGCTGGACCAGTAGAAAGACGTAAAAGCCTTTTCTTCACCTGTATAAAGCCCTCTTTGTGGGGCGTTATTTGTCAGCTCGTTCTGTTCTAAGTACTGATCATCACATGGGAGTAACGGCGTGTAACTGGACTTTTGTTCGTCTTATTTTTTTAGTTGATAAGAGAGGGTATCTCTGATCAATTTAAAGTTGTTTTTAGTTTTAATTATCAGACAAAAGGTATACAGGTGAGATGATTAGCAGCTGAAAGACTGGGTAAGTACATTCAAGATGGGTTCATTGAACTTTATAAAAGTTCTAAAACTGATAAATTTGAATCAGCTTTTGTCAACATTTCTTAGGTCCTTGGCATTAATTTTAAGTTTCTTAACTACCAACCGGTTCATGAATCATAGAGGCGACGAACTTAAGACCACACCTCTTGAATTCTTCTCATTCGTTATGCTCACTGTCTAGTTAAATAAATTTCAGACTTTAAAATCCCAGTAATCGCACACGCCAGGGAAGAACGTCCCAGCTACATGGATCAGAAATAGGTCTTGCCATAGTATAGGTGCTGACATGACTTGGAAATTTATGAGGTTACAATACAATTACAATGACAGTTGCAGCGCGAACCTATATCATATTCAAATACAATTTTAAGCTATGTTATCAAAAAAAAAACAAAAAAAGAATCGACAGCTTTTTAGCACTACTTACATGGGGTACTTAAAGTGTTCTCCAAAGAAAATTCACCACCAGTGATCTATCAGGATGTTTGGTCTAACTCTCAAACTAATCACTATCTAATATATATATCATTAATCGTTTTGGGGTTACCGAATTCCAAGGCCGTTCTGCCTGCTTTATGATGAAGATCAACCGTTTTAGTGAGAACAGATTTTCAATTTCGTTTTCGTTTCCAGTGACGAAATGGCGCAGTCTCCAGAAAGATTTTTTTTTTTACTGGCCTTTCGAAAATTTGTTCGGTGATATAAATAATTATGGTAGGATTAATTTTGCGAATGACAAATTAATACAAGGGTGGTTTTGTTTGCCACACAGGACTAAAAAGTGAGTGATTAACATGGGTCGGACCTATGACTTTCTAGCTACTAGTCTAGGTGTGGACGATTCAAGTGAACCTCAGAAAACGTTTTTACCATTCATGGTATCACTGAGATTATCAGTGCCACTCATCAACAACTCCTACTAGAGTAACATCTATGACATGGTATTAACATGAACGGCCTAGGTCATAGGCGTTAGCTCTCCTACAGCTCAGTACTGAAAGCAACTGATCTGGTAACCCGTAGACTTGCTACAAGTCGACCTCTTGGCCAGCGGAATGAGACTTTTTGGCCGTGAAGCGGCCAATTCGCCGCGAAGCTGCCGACCGCGAGCGACGAAGTCGCGAGCGGTCGACCTTCATCCCGCGCCATATGAAATCCGACGAAGGACATTTTTGAAAGTCTAGGTAACCCGCAGAAAGCCATGTGCTGTTGGGATAACTTGAATTTTGAGTCGCCTGTGTCGCTGACGAAAAACATCATTCTCATGTATTCATAAGACTTAAAATTCGCCACCTCTTTGTGAATACTTGAATTACGTAAAATTTAACTTATCACTAACATTGATCATTCGGTGCCGCCGTTTGTGGCCTACTAGATACTAGTTTGGCGCATTGAAATATCAGCCAAACACCCTGATGCCATGTGTCGCACAGACTGGGGTGAATCGTACTCCTTCAATCCGGGTAGTGAGATTGAATAATTTAAGATCAATAGCTTGATTTTGGAAAGCGAGTTGACATGTGCGTGGTCGTGCAAAATTCTTTATCAGCTCTACAATGGCAGTTCTGATTAGTTTTTATTGGAAGTGCTTTTAGCCTGTGACACTTCTGTTCAGTAACAAAAGCGAAAGGCAAGCCAATGTAAACGTATCACCAATTAACGCATCCCAATGTCTGAATTTATGTCTGCAAAAGATAAACACTTCTGTTCAGAGACTGTTTACCTAACTCTTCTCCAGGTCTTCTAAGAAATATGTTTCGCAAGTAGGCGGATTTCTTGTGACATTTTGATTTCAGTCTACCTTTTGCGGTATGATAGAGTCGACGGCGGTTGAAAGAAGTATTAAAATGGAGGATACTGGACCGAGAGATTTTCAAAATAGTGACAAGGTAATCTCGATGTTAGAAGCTTTGGCTTTCATTTCAGTGTTTCCAAGGCATTATGCTTCAGCGGAAACAATGTTATGAGTATTATTAACATGAATATGAAATGGAGCATGACTGTCGTTCTGTAACTTATCAGACGTTAATTTCAGGATGGATTATAATTGTAGGGAAATAAGGAGGTTAGTTGATGCTTTTTGGTTTTAAACTCAAATGGATTTTAGATGATCTAAACCAAACTGTCATTGTGTTGTGCAAATCACAACGACAATTACTTCTTTTCATGTTTGATTGCAACTATGAGCGTAGTCCATTGTTGATAACTTTCCAACCCTTAGTTTGCAAGTCAGTGTTTCTTTCTTCTAATCCTCTCCTTACATAAGTAACAGCAACATTTTTTTAAAAAAGTAATAAAACATCAGTATAAGAAAGCAGTGCGTTGATATGGTTTGAAAAATGTCTCACTACCAAGATGGGAGTCGAACAAGTCTTCCGGTTGAAATTTATCTTTTTAGTGGGTACTTTATTAAGAAAGAAATATCGGTGAACGCGACCAAAAGCAATTAAAAGCCTTCACAGTTACAAGTTCTGTTAGCATGCAGAGCGTCTCAAGTGTTCGTTACAATTAGTTGGGTACTTCAACCGGCGATAATCATAATAGTGCTTTCAGGTGGATGTCCCCTCTTAAGAAGACATCGAAATAATAATAATAAAAAAAGACAGCATTTTTTTTGTTGTTTTTTAATTATCTAATAGCTTTAATTAAAAATCACTGGAAGGATTTTGTAAGCTTTTTTTTTTTGCAAATGACTAGTTTATTTTCTATTAGGTCGAGCATGGTAATTACTCTTTTGCGCGCGTTATATTTTACACCTTAGTGTTAAATAACAGTCGACAACGCAATTTTAAACTTAGTGCAAATTTGATGTCCTGTTTTAAAAAGAAAATCGAGAAACACTGTCCTTTGTTTTGCTAAGCAATTAACAAACTATTTGAAAACCTTTTAAGTGGTTTTTGGCACTGAGCCACGACCAAGCTTAACTTAAGCTATACATTCTTTTCAATTGCTATTTTGTTTTGAATGAAAAAGTTAAGAAGATTTCAAGAGTAAGGTATGTCTCTATTCTATACTCACTCTAGCTAATGCGGCGAAAACATTAGTTTTCACGTTAGGGAATAAAATGGGTTATTCCAATGATTCGACGATTGCCAGGTTATAATTTCCGGTAAACACATACTCCCCGACATTTCTATTTGGCTCCGATAACTGAGTTATCTTTGGAGTTGCGGAATGAGACTGAAACTTTAATTGCGATTGAACAAGTGCTTCTCTTTGTTGACTTTCTCATTGTTAATGTTCGCCAACTTCTCAGTATGAAGCAAGAAATGCAGCATCAGCACCTTGGCAACGATGATGGTGCACTCATGAACAGATTCATGTACTATTCACATGAGGACGGACCTTGCACTCAACCCTAGGGACTTTGAGGCCAATTCGCGGCCGCATACCAAGCATATTAGGCCTGTTTCAAACGTTGTGCTACTACCGTGCTAAGCTGGCTCGACTGTAGCTTTACTGCAGCACGACACTAGCACGACTTGGTTTCAGACCTAGAATTTAATTCAGTCGAATAGAACGGCTGTTGCCGAAAACAAAACACAATAATAAAGAAACGATTTAGCAAAACTTTTAAATGTATTCTAATAAATTTGTAATTTATGAATTGATTTCGGCACGGCAGTAGCACGACGTTTGAAACCAAGTGGAGCTACTGCCTTGTAGCACGGCAAGGCTTGCCTTGTTACACGGCAGTAGCACGACTTGGTTCCAAACGTCGCGCTACTGCCGTGCTTAAGTCGAATTTAATTCGATCAGTTGAGTTCGGCACGGCAGTAGCACGACGTTTGAAACGGGCCTTAGTTGGAAGACGCACGACCCCATAAGCAGCATAGCTTTTAAAATCATCGTGCTTAAATAAAGGCTTTCTGTCTGTCTGTCCGTCTGATCAAAGATAACAGACAAGCGATTAGAAAAAGAAAACATCTAAGAACAAAAGCATCCCAAGAATGAGCAGTGCGTTGATATGGTTTGAAAAATGTCTCACTACCAAGATGGGTGTTTACAGAACAATTGTTCCGGTTGAAATTTATCTCTTTAGTGTGTACTTCATTCAAAAAAATCTCGGTGAACGCGACCAAAAGGAAATTAAAAGCCACCACACTTAGAAGTTCAATTTAGCATGCAGAGCGTCTCAAGTGTTCCTTGCAATTAGTTGAGTCTTTCAACCGGCGATAACCATAATAGTATGTTCACAGTGGTTGTCCCGGCTAAAGAAGACATCGAATTAACAAAAGAAAAAGATAGTATATATATATATTTTTTAATTATCTAATAGCTTTAATTAAAAATCACTGGAAGGACCTGGAAGGATTTCTTAGGGTTTTATTTTCCATTAGGACAAGCATGGTAATAACTATTTTGCGCCAGTTATATTTTACACCTTAGTGTAAAAGAACAGTTGACAACGCAATTTTCAACTTGGTGCAAATTTGATGTCCTATTTTTTAAAAAAAAACAAGAAATGCTGTCCTTTGTTTCGCTAAGCAATTAACAAACCATTTGAAAACCTTTTAAGTGGTTTTTAGCACTGAGCCACGACCAAGCTTAGCATAAAAAGCTATACATTCTTTTCAATTGCTATTTTGTTTTGCCTGACTCCATAATCAGATCTTCCAAGCAATGTTGAGAAGATTTCAAGAGTAAGGTATGCCTCTTTGCTATTCTCATGCACTCTAGCTAATACGGCGAAAACATTAGTTTTCATCCAAGAGATTAAAATGGGCTATTCACTGATTCACGATTGCCAGGTTATAATTACCAGTAAGGCACATACTCCTCTACATTTCTTTTTTGGCTCAGATTGCTGAGTTACCTTTGGAGTTGCGACATGAGACTGAAACTTTAATTGCGATTGGGATCGGGAGTCGCTGACCAAGTGTTTGCTTGTTGTTTTAGTTTATAACTATAGTTTAGCTTTTACCGGGAAAGTTGTTATTTCACCCCAGAAGCGTGGTGCGAAAACAGTATGCTTTGAAAAGAGAGTAGATACTATATAGAAATCAAAATATGACGATGGGGAGAAAAAAAAATTATTTGAATAACACGCTCATGTTTGACTAAAACTTGATGATTTGGTTTGCATATATTTATTATTATTATTATTATTATTATTATTATTATTATTATTATCATCATCAAATCTTTGTGATTTATGACCGATTGCAGTGTAGAGGCTCTGTAATTTTTCACTGCTGTGCTGGGCCAGTTATTGTTGCGTAAGGAGAGGGGGATTTTGAGTAACATGTTAGCAGTAAGGCCGCTCATTGCGCGCGGTTGTTATAGGTGAGTCTGGATGGAAAACGAAATGGAAATTATGCAACTAGCAGCAACCGATGGTTAGGAAGTGCGGGTGAACATGTACTTTTACCTTACAGATGTAAATGACTAGAACCGCTTTCAAAATTGTGTACGTGAATCAGAGAAAGCCCCTTTAGATCGAGTGTCAACAAAAGGAATCTTGGCGGATATGAACGTAGAAACTGAATTGAACAATCAAGTAAACAAGACTCATATTTAATTCAAGGATTTTACCACCAGTTACTTAGATACAGTCAACCTGCGAACGGTGAGGAGCGAAGAGAGGGGAGAAACGGCTGTTTTCGCCAGCAAAGATAAAATGAAAACGGTAATGCACAGCCTGAAAAAACAACGCTCAACCTGAAATGTATAACGGTCATGACCGCACGAAGTCTTATTATTCAATCGGTTGTTCAATCTGTGTTTAATGGCCAAAAACCGTAGAGTTTGAAAAAGATTAGTTGATCTTAGTTTACCACTGAATTTTAAAGCTTATTGAAGCTTTCAGATGACAAGGGACTTAACATGCTTCAAAACGTATAAAAATATTAAAACCATTCACTGAAGTGTAACCTGAATTAACTTTAATTTTCATGGATTTCTAGACTTTGCTAATACTCCTATCTTACCGAAGCCTCGTCTCGCACTAAGCTGAAATCAGGCTCTACTTTCATAATGCAAAGCTAAATTATGAAAGGGAAACTTAAGTTTAAGCTTATGAAACCTTTTCGATGGGAAGATTCGCACTACCCTCTGCAAGCTGATAAACATACTTTGTACCACTATAATAGTGACAAAATATCAGAGAAATGGAGAACAAGTGTTTCACTTGATTTAAATTGATTATATACTGAAAATCAATTCTGACCGTTCTCTTTGTTGACTTTCTCCTTGTTAATGTTCGCCAACTTCTCAGCATGCAGCGAGAAATGCAGTATCAGCACAGATTCATGTTCCATTCACATGAGAGCGGACATTGCACTCATCAACACTAGGGCCTTCGTGGCCAATTCGAGGCCACACCGAGTATATTGGGGGTGGGGGGGGGGGGGGGGGGGGGGAGGAGGAAGGAATCCCAAGAATGTGGACAGATTTTGCGAAAACCCGCTATATACACTTTAAAGTTCCGCTGACCACCGCACCCTTTTGGCTCGTCCGCCATAACAGTAGATGTAGTAGTGCAAATGATTGGAAGTATGGTGGTTAGTAAATTAATCGCGTTTACAATTTTAGCAAACTGAGAGCCAAGGGCTGAACTTTCGAGCCGGTGGGCAGACTAATTTACTATAGCAAGGTGCAAGATTGGTTAATAGAGTGGAACGCTACCTTTAGACCACTCCGTAATACCATCACAGTGCTTTGTCCACCTCCTTCCCTCGACCCAAATTTCAAGCCCCAAACTTAGACTCTTTAAACCAATTTGTTTTCCTCAAAGCCTTGTTAAGACTACCACCAACGGGCCTTAGAACTTACAGCTCATATGCAATAACAAATTACCACATACTGTATGGGTACTCTAGTTATCTTAGGTCATCAAGCTGACATTTTTACCGTTAACATAATCTCTTTTAACTTACTTCCCTGTTTCAGATTTCCCCTAAGACTCCTTCAGAACAATGAACAACTCTTCCACGCAAGCTCAATCAACCCAGGCAGTGCCATTTATGAAGTTCACCGAGTTAGTTGCTTGGAGTTGTGCGTTTGGTGTTGTCGATGTTTTTATTCTGGTTGGAAATGTTCTTACGCTAATAGTCTTCATTACAAACAAGAAGCTTTTGAGGGTACGAGCCAACTACTTCTTGATAAACTTAGCTCTAGCTGACATTTTGGTTGGTACGTCTGCCATTCCCATGTATGTTTACCACTTGATTTCAGCGTGGTACAAAGGAAGCACTGTTTGGCAGCAACGTTCATACAAGATTTACAAGGTGGTGGACGTTTTCGTCGGTTGCGCATCAATGTTCACTCTAACTGTTATTGCTTTGGAAAGAGCCTTTTCGGTTTGCTTGCCTCATGTCCACCGCCACATTAAAAACAAAGTCTACTATAACCTCGTTGGGCTGATATGGTTCATGTCCATTCTGGTTGCCGTTTTGCGCTTTCTTTTCGAGAACGAATTGTTATCGATAATTTTTTTCTTCTACTTTTTGCTTGTCTTCTTTGCAATTGCATTGTCAATCATCTGCATTTCATACGCAGTGATTTGGTTTCGAATGAAGTTCCGTTTTTCCAGGAGAGACAGCAACAAGCGTTCAAGAGAACAGGACAAAAGACTAGCCATAATGCTATCCACAGTGACCATGATATTTGTGCTCACGTGGCTACCCTTCCAAATCATAAATATCGTTTCATTTTTCTGCGAGCCCTGTCGTCAAATGCCGAACGAGTTGGTTTATTTCACGAAATTCTTGCATTATGGAAACTCTTGTGTTAACCCTATAGTCTACTCCTTCCTAGTTCCCGAGTTTAGAAACACATTAACCAGATTTTTGAGAAAATTAAGGACCTAATGGTGTTTAAGTAATGGGCGCATAATGATCATAATAATTTGTCTCTTTCCATTGTTCATAAGGAAGAGCTTTAAAATTCCGGCATGTCTCTTGCTATGTCAGAACAGTCCACACAAATACCTGCTACATACCCAGATTTGGCAACATTGTACATGGACTCATCACTATGAACTGCTGACCGTCACGAGCAGTAAGAATTTAAAGCTTCAAATTATGGCAACACTGCTTCAAGAGTATGATGCCTCAAGGCAGTTCGAATGTGAAAAAAAAATGAACTCTGTAAAACTTAAACTTATAACAGTCGTTTCCTCCTTGCAAGACTCAGCAGTTTCTGCGTGATAGTTTTGAAACAAAAATGAGTAAATATGCAAGAACATGCCACTAGGTATAGCAACCATGTTACAATCATGGAGCACTTTTTTTCTGCTGTGATTTTGGAGGAAGTTGGATGTTAATGCACAATACTTGAGACAGACAATAAAAAACAAGGGCCAGTGCCATTTTGATTTCCACTTTTGTGTCGATTTTATTCTCCACTATTAAATTTTCCTTACCGTGGAGCCTTAGGCCCCGTTAATATGGAGAAAAGTTGTCCCAGGTAGACATAGAAGGGTCACCTGCCTAGCCGAGCTACAATGGGCGAATCAACTTAGTTTCCTGTATCTCCTTACAAAACGTCACGTGAAAAGCCATTTAGATGACAAACAAAACGTTTGCTAAGCTAGAAGGGTGAGTCGTGTAGCCAGGTCACTCTTTTGTGATGGTGGGGTCCTAGTCGGGCCAACCTTTCTCCACTTCGGAACGCCCAGCCGGGTCAACTCGGTCAAGGTGAGACAATCAGAGCATGCGCGAGCGCCGTTGGATCGGGCAGAGGTGTCAACTTTTTTCTCATATAAACGTTCACTATAAAGTTGACTCGCCTGGGAGGGTGACCCTTCTCCCCGGGAAACGTTTTCTCCATATATTCAGGGCCATACTAGTATAAGCGACAAAAATGTGCAGTATAGTTTTTATCCAGGGGGAGAGGAGAAGGAGAGAAAATCCAACGCCCGCCCCGCCTTGTCGATTGGTAAGCGCTCGAAATCCGTACAATTGCGCTCTAGCTTACACGACTTGACATCTACGTCTTATTCCGCACAGTGCATAAAAACTCAATGTAGAAGGAAGATGGAAATAGGGAACGTTTTCTCAAGAATGATATCACCCCAAAAAGCTCACGAAAATAAGGACTGACATGATATCAGATGAAAGCTCGCTGTACTAATTTATATTACAGTAGGAGAAAAAGAAAGTTATGAACCGCATACTAATAATAAAGGAAACAGCTGAGGAAACAAATATCTCGACAACACACTTAGGCTATGTTCACACTATACCGGATAGCTTTTGGGCCGCCAAGAAAATCATCCCGGATAAAGAGGGCTTCTGTTCAAACACTGAGAACGGTGATTTCGGCTGGATTTCTATGACGGAGCGAAGCTGCGCCGCGCCGATCACGAAAGTGGAGCGTCACCTATCGGATAGTCTCTGCGCCTCACTTTGGTGCAGTATGTCTACCTATTCGGACCGTCGCGGAAGTAAAAGAGTAGGGGTGAGGAAGGTGATTTCGGCTGGATTTCTATGACGGAGCGAAGCTGCGCCGCGCCGATCACGAAAGTGGAGCGTCACCTATCGGATAGTCTTTTTCGCCTCACTTTGGTGCAGTGTGTCCACCTATTCGGACCGTCGCGGAAGTAAAAGAGTAGGAGTGAGGACTGGAATTTTGTGCACCAAACCCTCTCGGCCAACCGCCCCGGCACGAGGTTCCATGTGTGTGAACGACTTGTGCCGCCCCGGGCCGTTGCTGTTCATATTATACCGGTATTGTGTGAAAATAGACCTGCAGTTAAAGAGATTGATATGAATTAAGAACCATAAACTCGGCAATCGAGGCAGAATTATCATGCCTGTATTAAACTTCTATGTGATAAGTATGAATAAAACCTCTTCCAGTCAACGGTATTCGCAGCGTACTTTAGACAAAAATCGCAAGTGTTTCTTGTTGGATTCACGGGTCCCTCAACGAAGACAACGGGTCCCGCGGCTTAACTCGCAGCATATATCCAAAGTGTACATCTAAGCGTAGGAAAACCACAAAAAAGCTAATTTGAACAGATGAAGACATTAACATACAATACAATACAATACAATAGCATACTCTCTTACGATTAGGTTAGCAAGCTTTTGCGATACTGACCTCAGCTCCGCCCTCTTCGCGTGGCGAACCGTCAATAATCTGGTGAAAGCACTCGAAGAACTCACCGTTGCTATTTGACGTCCCACTGGCACGCGGAGTCAAGATATGGAATCGGAGGGCGAGATAGTCGCCCCCATCCTCCTGATCTAAATGATTTTGGGGGAAAAAGAGACTTTGAGCAGTCTATGGTGAATTTTCCATACAAAGTCTACAAAGCTATAAAAAGGACATATTTTATTTCCTCAGTCTGTGATCCTTTCTATTCTCCTTTGCAACTTAAGGCAGTTGTCATTTTTGCCCTAATCAAGTCAATCCTGAATAATTACTTTACGCAAATAGTCTGGTGAGGCAGACATTACTGCGATAGATATCGATAAAAAATATACTTTCATTATTAATTTATAATTCTTAATGATTTCAACATCCTTTTCAACAGCTACTCTGGTACAATGCTACAAACAAGCCGTAAGAAAGAAATCTTGTTATATTCACACACGTCTGATATCTGAGCTTAGTCTTTTAGGATATCTAATACATCTGTACGTGCCCGAGGCCATTTAAAGGGCGCTAGAGCCATCGTTCATCCGGCTAGTGAATCTAACTTACAGAGTCATGCAAATTAACTGGTATCAATCATCTTGTGTTTTTATTAATTTGATTTTAATTATAGAACCGTACTTCAATGTACGATAGTGAAAATTCTAAGTCAGTAATAATGAATAGGTCGAATAGGATAGGTCACTAACTCATGGGTCCAAATCCATCAACAAATAGACTAATATATAAACTATTACCGAATCCTCTTAATACTGACTCACGATTTCCGTTGTATATCAAATTTATGCCTTCTGGATGTGACTGAATTGCATCAACTCAATATTGTTTGTTGACCCATATATAACGCTATTGTTAGGTTAACGATATACAAAATTTCAAGGAATTCGAATCCATGCTGGTTTTGTGGTCACTTGAAAGCGACCATGGCGGCCCCAAAACTCTCTTCAAGGACTGACAGATACGGCGCATCTTTGGAAATTCTGTAAAAACCGTCTGAGTAAGGCAAACTGAAGAGCCGAGTGAAGTTCGGTTCAAAGGAAATTGTGAGACAACCTAAGGTGAGGGCAGTTTGCACCTGATTGGCCTTGCTCTGAAGAACATTAGCTAACATTGATGTTATGTGAGTTAATAGAGCATTTGGTGGTTGTTGATTTTTCCAACATGAATATGTTCCTCCTTAGCGTAGTTTGGGTGTCTCTAAGAAACAGTAGTGTAGCCGCTTTTGTTCTTCTGGGAATTGACGTACATGAACACGAAGCAATAAAGTAAATGGAGCTTGATCGCCCATATACATCACAATCAACATATAAAAACTTGACACGGTAAATGGCCGGACATTCAATGTCTGAAATGCTGAAGTGATTTTCATACGGGGTTTTTGTTGTTAGGTTTATTCTTAGCTATGTCTTAAAATGCAATGTGATCGTATATCCTTTTTCAGTATAACTATAATATTTTGCCGCGGGCTATTAGTATAATGAAATTAGATAGAATATGCACGCGACACGGTTTGTTCTTGTAATTTAACAAACGACTAGCGATCCTAACCAAGTTCATGGAGTTTATGTGAGCGAGCAATTCGCTGATTTGAAGAGAAACTGTAAACCAGGAAACATATCTACCATTTATCCTCTCATTCCTTGCCAGTTGAGGAAATTAAAAGTAAAAGAGTTGTAACGTATCAGTTGAACAAGAAAAGGTGACACATGAAGTTCCCTTGAGTTTTTAAAATGAAATTTTGAATTGATGGACTAGAGAATTCTCACTAGATCATTCTTAGTGACTCCACTCATCAACTTTCTTAATCGAGACATTTTCCTAAACGCCATCTCTCCAATTCAGTGTCAAGCCCTCTCCAATTTCTTTTGTGCAAACTAGAAATACCCTAGAAAGCAGTTTACTTAATGGAAGTGAATTGCATGTTTTTTTTTCTGTGAGAAATGTGATAAATAATTGCTCTACGTCAATGAAAGTACTACAGACGTGACGGCATTGATACTTGTATGGACAAATGCATCCTTTAAAACTTGTACTGTGACCTTGATTGATGTACTTTTTTAAAAAGAATATCAGTTTTCGCCAGATCAATTACGTCTATTCCATGCAGACACGATTTCACCACTTAGCAAAAAATAAATGATTGTCAATGGGTTAGGAATGCAACCAATGCTCTGGGAACAGCTAACGTATCGGTTATGTGATAATTCATTAGTTTTCACCAGATCTAATTAGTGCACACGTCACGTATGCACTGTGAAGTCTCGACTCCGTCCCAGTTAGTTAATTGAAACTAGTATAGTAGGTCAGGAGATATACTACAGGGATATGATATACTTGACCCTGGAAAAGGGTACACCAAAATCATAAATTATCGGAATCAGTATTTTTGCCTGCCCTGCTCTCCATCTGAATCCCGTTTTTGGGTGTGGCTCAAATTTGATGTTAATTCAAAGAGGAACAAATTCCAAGAGACAAATATCGCAGAACTCGGACAATTTCAACGAAACTGCTGTAGGCGATACGTTTTGAATGAATAGATTATCATCATTCGAATTCGGTATTTTTAGATTTTAGCGCCCTTTAATATTTATAGCGGTACAAATATTTTGAAATCTAAAGGATCACAAACACAACCGGCATTTTCATGATGAAACAAAAAGACCAGAAAGATATTCAGGTTATAAAATTATTTATGAAATTTTATTGGAAAAGACACGGTATAACTTACTTTAGTTATAATAAGCACATTTTCCTAATTCAGATTCCACAGTTCTTAGTAGTTTATCAATGAGTAACTAGGCTATGAATTCAGAATGTTATTTTGAGTGAAATAATTCCTCCTCTCTTTTTCGATCATCCAAAGAAAGGAAAAATGAACTAGGCTTTACAAATATAATTAGAGCTAACATATAGACGGTACCCAATGTTACACCACATGTGGACCTTTCGTTTACAATTGTAATCAGGTGAACAAACACAGGTATGGATACTGTCATGAATGTTCTTTTAAACCAGTCTATCCGAATTAACATAACATGTTCAGTTGCAAAAAGGGATCTGATTAAACTTTTTCTTTATTTACAATCATACATTTTACCGTTAGAATCACCGTATGAGGAAAATTAGTCTGGTTATTCGTTTGTGTGTGTGTATGATAAGGACAGTTCACAGTTAAGTACTATATTTTTTTGAATTGTTATTTTCACAGAGTGATCATGAATACTTCAGTCACTACTGATAGCGAGGAAGGAGAAGGCAGTTCTTCAAGTTATGAAGTCATTCTGTGGTGCGCAGTGTTCATATTTACATCTATCACGGTTCTTTTTGGAAACACTCTAGCTATCGCTGTTTTTGTTGGCAAGAAGTTACTACGCAAGAGAAGTAATATACTACTACTGAATTTAGCCACCGCCGATCTAGTTATTGGCGGTGTTGCTATACCTATGTACGTTTACATTTTTTACAAATCCCATAAAGCAGATCAATGGGAAAGCAGGATCGTTAATGAAGTGTACCTATGCGTAGATATATTTGCTGGACTGTCATCCATGTTACTTTTGGTGGTTACTGCTTTGGAAAGAGTCTACTCGATTTTTTTTCCTTTTAGCCATAGGTGTACTTCCAGACAATTTTACTGGCTTTCAGCTTGCTCTGCTTGGATAATTGCCGGTTGCGTTGCTTGTCTCAAGCTCCTCTTTTCAAGGAGAGTAATACCTCCTTCGTATGATAACTACATAATTGTGACTGTAGTTTCTTTGGCGATTTTGACTATGTCAGCCTCTTATGTAGCTATTTGGAGCAGGCTACAATGTCGCAGGAAGAACAGTAGTGTAATCGTGCAAGAGAAGCCCGTGGCGATGGCAATGTTAATAGTCACCATTGCCTTTCTAGGAATGTGGTTACCAATATATTTCATAAACCTGATTGGCAGTTTTGACAGTCGGTCGGTTCTTGCCATCCCCTTAAACGCGATTTACTTTGCCAAGCTTTTACAGTATTGCAACTCTGTTGTTAATCCTATTATATACTCCCTAAAGCTCCCGCAGTTCCGCAAAGCCTTGGATAGACTTCGTCATAAAAGTTCTGTTAGAACAGAACACAGAACACAGAACGATAGGCCCTTAATATAAAAGTGGTACGTCACCTTGAACAAGGAAAAATTGAAAAATCATGTCGCATGGTACTTTAACTCCCAGAAATGATCGGCGTGCAACTTCTCCTTATAATATCCAATACATTGTCAAGTTGAAAGGTGATGAGAATAGGCAAATGTGGCAGCCAAAGGTTGTTCTTTTGATTTAAACTTAAATTAATTCCCTAACCTAATGTACAATAAAATGTATAGCTGCCAGACAGGAGAACTATACTAATCAGATCTTTGGAGTTATAGTAATGCACTTTCTCTTGCAGCTGATGGCCATCATAAACGCTTGATTGATTTAGGTAACTTTTTTCTATTTTCGTCATTTACTAACTAAGTTATAACTCCTCTCTTAAGAAGAGATTGGAGCTGTTCTCACAAGATTTGGTTGTTTCTTGGTGATGCGGACGAGTGGGATCATGTCCAATGGACGTATTACAAAAGTTTAAAAAGACACTTCACAATACCCTCACTCAAACACACAAGCTAACCTACAATAGTATCCACACACTGAGAAACATACCCAAGTTTTAATTTTCTTTGTAAGCTTGTGTAAATAAGTTTAAATTCCTAGATTCCTGATCTGAACGTTGTTTCTGTCTTACTTAAATTCCCTGGCTAATGCTTCAAAACTACAACATGTACGTACGCCAGCGTCGACCAAATTTGGAAAATACTTGCCGATATCAGTAGAGCTGACGTCAGTTGTGCAGATATGCGGACAGAAAAAAGGGACAGCGGAAGGCGCGTTTGTTTTAAGTCAGTGACGAGTACAAATCAGTTTTCATGCATCTGTTAGTTGATGCTATAAAATGCCTTTCATCGTCTTGAAAAATAGCGTGGAGGCTACCTGACTTTTCCGTCCATTAGAACCTTCAATTAAGAGATGTTATTTCCATTTGCAGGCCCCAGTTATTCAAAAGGTGGATGACCCTATCCACTATCGATAAATTACTAGCTAAGTATCCAGTGGATTGCGCTACTGGTTTTCCCTGTACCTAACCGCTGGATAGTGATTTATTCGTTGCCGGGATAGCGCTCAGTCTAGCTTTTGAACAACTGGAGCCTGTAGTTTTCATCTTTTACAGTTTTGAGACACAACAGGCGTTGGCCCATTGCACAACAGCATATACTAGATTATATCAAGGCTCTCTTGGTTATATTGGACTGCTCTTCCAACTCGCCAAACAGGATTATGAATTTCTTCAAAATACCTCAGCATACAAAACAATAAACCGTCTAATAAGGTACATTTATCTGTAACTTTTGCCTTTTTTATGCACTTATCCCTCGGACGTACACGCGAGGAAAGTTACAATATTTTGAAACGATTTTGCCTTCATTGGAAAGCCTTTGATCTGATGAAGAATATTTTATGGGTGGTGGCGCTGCTGGAGGTCTATGTCATCACCAAACATGGTCGCCATCTTGGCCGCCATGTTGGATTTTATCAAGAGTTAGAAATCAGGTAAAAACAGTGAGAATTAGTAGTTTTTTGCACTTAACATGCAAAAAAAAAAAAACAAATAAATAATTACTTTGCATCATTTTATCCACAAGCTTTACTTTTTTCCTAAAACAAGTTAAAAAACATGTATTTTCACTCAATAATGGCTGACCAACTGTTACTTATGACGTCATATCGCATAACCATAGTAACTGACCATCACTGAACTTGTCTTAAAAAGCGAGCGAGGGATAAAATAACAGCTTCAGAAAACTTCAGGTGCTGATGTTTTATCGTCTAGGAAAAAAGTCAGAAATACCTTATAGAGGGGTGGCAACCACCCACCCTACCCTCCCCCCCTCCCCTTGTACGTCCGAGGGTTAATAGCCAGAGTGGCAAACCTTTCCATATCTATTGATGTTCGCAAATTGTTATTAAATTTTTGTTCAGCGTCAAAATAGAACAATACTTCTTTTCGACAGTTATGAACACTTCAAACCAATCCCTTTTGATGTCTAGAACGATGGATTTCTTTCTATTAAATTTCTTATTCAAGCAAGGAAAAACAAAACAAAACAAAAATCTTGTTTATTTCTATAAACATGGAGACTAAATTAAAATCACCAAAAAGATCGGGATTTAGTCGTGGAACGATGTTCAAGAAATGATAGCTAAAGCTTCTATTTTTTGTAAATCGTCCGCTCTTAATAGTTTGTTCGGAAACGCAATATCGGCCTATTCAATATATGCAAATCAGCCAATTCATGTAAAATCAAATTGATATGTGCGTTTAGACAAGCCGAATGGAAAGAACGAGTGAGATGTATTTTGTGCCACTTCAAAACCGCAAGATGAGATTTAGGCCGTTTTTTTCTTTGTCGGTACGCGTACGCCTATTCATTCCTCTCAGTTTGAAACACATTTCTAGTTTTTGCATATTTCACATTGCATTTCACAGAGAGCAGTGCTAAAGTTACAATTAGCAAAACTCCCGCAATTAACAATTATTTAAAATTTTACGAATTTTAGCTAGTTTGACAACGGAAAACATTAAAAAGGGAGTCGCAATTGGCTTGATGATATATTAGCCAAATTCTGATTGGCTTACCTAATTTTCTAAGTGTTTTTTTTTTATCAATTGACGCTTACTGATCATCTAATTCCGATAATTTGTTCATGTATCTTTTGTTTAGATTGATATCCTAACTTTAATGAAAATTTAATAAAAGTTATTGCCATCAGCTCTAAGATAAACGTAGTATCAACCCATGCAATCCATCGCAAAAACAACTACGCGACATACGAAGGCTGCTCAGGATGCCTCACAGTTGGACTCAACATAAAGTAATATACGTGGGTATTATGAAAACTTTATGGCGCTCTTAAAGAAAACAAACCGACATATTGTATCTTAATTTTGCATCGTTTGTGAGGTGGTTGGTTTGATGTTAAAATGTGGAGTTCTTGTGTCTCTAGAACGGCCACCTGCACGTATATACGGATAAAAGCTTTTCCTGACGTAGAAAACTCAAAGGTGCGAAGCCATCAGTTAAAAACCTTTCAACTGGTTCATTTTCAAAGAGGCCTTTTGTTATTCACCGCATACAATTGAAGAGAATTTTAGTTTGTGTTTATATTAACGCACCACCGCTGAGAAGAGAGCTTACCAAGACGCTTTGGCGGACGAAGATACTTGCAATAGCTCAAAGCATCCGGTGACAAGTCAAGCAAGCAGTTCTAGTATATCAATAGTGCTCGTTTTTTTCTGAACGTATATTGAAGTGTATGTTGAAATTTGCAATTCAGGGAGTAGATGTCTTTCACCTTTATGAGGCAAACATTAAAAATTTGCGACCTTGACTAATTTATTTTATCTGTATTCCCACAATCCCCCGCTGCGTTTGTTCATATAAGAAATATTTAAGGAATACGACTAGCCGCGCTGCTAAAAGTACTTCGATTGACGAGCATTCAGTTTACCGGCTGGTGCAGCCAAACCGTGAGTGCGAACTATGAGTTCGCAGCTGTTGTCATAACATGAATAATTTTAGGCTAAAACCCTAACGGAGATTTGGCCTCTTCATATGCTGCAAGTTAATTCTCGTTTGTCAATTACAAATAGAAGTTTCGCCACAAGAAGCCGAGTTCAGGCAATCTCGTCCTTAGAATACGGTTGGTATTTGTTTCTTTTTTCACACCTTCCTTATAAAAGGTAAATATATTAAATCAGTGAAGCCCAATTCATTGATCAGACACTAGGTATTTCTCAAAAGAAAATCTAGAGCAAAAACGAAAATAGCTCACCCGGCAGACGGAGTGATTATAGAACCATCACCATGACTTCCATGATCGAAAAATTCATTTACGCGAGTTTCTTGAAAAAAGGAAATGTTTGTTTATGAAAGTCGTCTGGTATGAACTAAAAGTAACTCACTTCCTCGTCCAAGACGATGTGTATTACATCTGTTGCGAGTTTGTTTTTGTTTTTGAATAGATTTACTATGCTATGAATAAGTTTACCTGGTGAGGAATGAATCTAACTCGCTTGAATAGCCCAGATGTGATTGCCAAGCAAAGATAAATTTATTATTGAGTTCCCTGATAAGAAATATGTATATATTCATTATTAATGTAACAAAAGAGAAAACACACACAATTTAGCTTGAACTAATCAGTTCTCAAACTATAGCCCGTGAAGGTTTTAATTGCAAGATACATGTATGTGTACATTAAGTTACGCTTAATATATAGTTTAGGCCTGAAGCCGCCTGTATAATTTTCGAATCGGTCTTCATGCACTAGCTTATTTGGGGAACGTTGGAGGCAATGTGCGGTGTTTGTGTCAAATCTTGTCCTACTGAGATTCATAAACATTTTTATTAACCCCTGTACAAGGCAAGAAGTCCCAAATATCGATGCTCGTCATAAATCAATCATTTTTCGCATCATGACATTTTCACAAGCCGGTTACGAAGTTACAAATGCTCTGCAGGATTCCTCATAGTTCGTGTTCAAATTTGAATGTGTTTATTTTGTAATAAAAGGCGATTAATACCATAAAACACCGAGGCAACATTTTAATCTTTGCATCATTATGATCGGTCATTATTGATGTCTCGTTTTTGTTTTGCCTTTTGAATTCACTTCCATACGCGGAAAATTTTTATTTCTATTTTTATCCTTAATTGAGGTTATGCATTGGAGATAAAGAATAGGCTGCCACAAGAAAATATGATAAGTAAATAAACATTGGATATTTTTGATAAGACCGGTTCCGAATCGAAAAAAGGACAAAATTTTGCCCTGATGAAATTATGTCATGGATTTTACTAAAATACATGTAAGGTCAAGTATAGTTAATTTGAGGTATGTTTACTTTTCAGATTAGATCTAGAATCCCCCGTGAAAGAGCTGCGAAGGAAAATTGATGTTTTTTCTTTTTTTTGTCAAAGCTGCTGTATTGCATTGAAAATGTTTTATTATTGCGTGGACAACAGGAGCAATTTCTTGACGATGTTAATCGTAGCAGAACCGCGAATGTC